GGGGGGGAGAAACTTTAAACAATAACTGCTTCACGTGCAAACCTATACTTAATCTTTGAACGCAAGTTTTTTTAAAGTCAAAATCAAGAACTCAACAGCGTTGAAGTATATCGTGCCACACAAGTTTCGCAGTCCATGTTCTTTATGCATACCCCAATAACGAGCTTTTGTGGAAGTTACCTTTTTACGTATCGTGCTGAGGGGAGGGAGGGCGTTCCTCGCTGCTTTCGCACTTTGCCCCCACGAGACACCCATTGCGACGGTGTGATTAGCTACTTAAAACATTGCACGAATTATCACCTTTTACTTTTAGACATGCGCACTTGTTAAAGTTATAATTTTCTTCATGAATGGTTTGTCTCGCCTCTGAGTGCAAAAAAATCAGTTTGCTTACAATTGGAGTGAATTTGTGTTTTTCAAATGTTGAGTCCCCCCCCCCTCCCCCCTTTCCCTCGCGCCTGGGGCGGTGCCACTGACTGAAGTGTCTTTATGCCATCCCCAAAGGGGGGACATTTCTCGTTCTTATGCACTGTAGAATTGTAAATTGGCTGATTGAACAATGTCATTCTCATAACTGTGCCTGAACTACAACGGTGAACTGCTGCTTTTTCTTTCCTAATCCTTACTATCGTGATTTTCCTTTACTTCTTTTGTATATTTGTCACACTCTTGTGACCCGCTATTTCCGGGGTGCCTTGAAAGTCGAAACAGACTTTGTGCTGTTGAAGCTAGAGAGGTGACGTCTCTGTTGACATCCACCCCTTGGCGTTCTTTCAACCTTATGCAGTTGCGAGCGCCGTAAAACCTCTACTTAAAAAAATGTTGAGTAAACGTAGCATGAGTATTGCTTTACACTGACATCATAATGAGAATTCGGGTGATGAATGTGCAAGATCCAATGGTATAAGTTCTGATTTTAATTCCTTTTTTTTTTTTTGGGTGAACATGTGATCGTAACGTTCAATTTTCTCAGTGTGCTGAAAATGTCATAATGAATGGGGTATATTTACCGAGATACATGTATAGTAATAATGTACCCCCATGAGAATCCAGGTTTGTGGGGACAAAGTTTTGCGCTCTCTGCGCTGAGTGGTGGGAAACACTGTGGACCCAAGAGCATATCAGCTGGACATGAGAGTGGTGAATCTAGCGGTCGACTCAATAATTCAGTAGAGGTTCGCGAGTACTCTTGATTCAGGGAGCCAGAGCTCAGAGTGTTAATGAATTTGATCTTGCTTCTGGGAAAGTAAGATGTTATTATGACCCCTTAACCACCGTCCCTTCCCTCCTAAAAAACCCACCAAAAAAGCAAATCTGTACTTAATTGTCAGCACTTCTGGGCCATCTCAGAGCGACCTGAAATTCTTTTTGTCATTGTTCTTGTTTTTAATATTGGTTGTTGTTTTAAGATTTATGTTTTTTTGCGTCCCAGTTTAGATGAACCCTCCAACTGTAACTTACACTTCGGACAGAACTTTTTTTGGGTTCAAACCTAGATCTATAGTTCATTCTCACCTAGGTTTCACCTCTGTGCGAAGAAGCAAAATAACGGCACTCTTTCCTATACGTTTGTGAGAGCTCCTTGTCCATGTTAGAATAACATCTCACCTCTTTACCCGAGAGGGGTAGATCTACAAACGTAACAACCTCACGACCCCCCAAAAAACCCACAAACATATATAAACTATTTTTAAAATCTACAAATAAAAAGTATACTTATACACACAAAACAAAAACAACATCACAAACAAAAATACCCACACTACAAAATAATATAGCAAAACAAACACGCAACACAATAACAACCCAATAGCAACGGCAACAAAGAAAGAAACAAACAAACATTAAACAAACAAAAACCAATTGAAGAGATATTTAATTTTAGAATACCCAGCAAAAGGGTGTAAGTCCACTGTCAGTTGTATGAAATTTGAAATTGTATGGGTTTAACGCCCCTATCAACACTACTAGGTTATTTAAGGGGCGGGACCTCCTAGTTTAACGTCCGTCTCCGATAGGACCGAGCCAAGTGGGAAGTTCCTGTAAAGTGTCTTTCCCAAGGACACAACGTCGGACCGAGCTGAGGTTCGAACCGCCGAACCCGCAACCTCACGATTACGAGTCCAGTAGCCTAACCACTAGGCTACCGACGCCAGTACTGTCAGTTAGGTGCACCTCATGAGTCACAAATGTTTATGCTGACGACCATGTTTCCCCAGTGGAGCTGTTTGATCCTCGACAACCCATTCCTGGCGCCAAGCCCAAACAGTGAGTCTTTAAAAACATGTCTAGACTCTATACAGATTCCAGCGCACGTTGGGTATGCCTCAGATTTGCCTCCGAGGGGCAGGGCAATTCTCTCTCACAAGAACATTCCGTTCCGACAGCGGACAATATCCCTCTTGCCCAGTCCAGCAGGACCTCAGATGGGCCTCAAATCAGTGGGGTCAGTTTTTCTCTCACAGAATTAACTTAGTACTACGAAGTTTCTCTTGTCCAGATAGGCCTCAGATGAGCCCAAGGCGGCGCTCAGATGGGGCGAGTCAGTTTCCTCTTATACAAAAGTCCCGTTCTGACAGCGAGCTATGGAGCTTGTCTTGTCCAGCTGGAACTGTAAGACTACCACCCCATACGTGGCGACCGTGCCGAAAATCTGAGGAGAACAGGAACACATTAAGCTCAGGGACTTATAAAATTAACATTTATCACATATTGTTTTGGGCTGTTTTCATTTATTTTAATGAGATTTTAACTCTGGACAAATCCAATTATTTACCAGATTGACTACCACAGACTTTTAGAAAGGCTCTTTTGGCTGACAAAAGAAGTCCCTGAAAGATAAAGAAACGATATTCAAACAGTTCCCTAACATGCATTTAGGCTTGTTGAGAAACGCTAACGACAGCAGTTAAAAAGAGGGGCATTTTTTAAACGTAGTATTAAGGGGGCTGAGAGGGGTGGTGGTTTGAGCCTGTGGATTGGAGGTCAAGTGAGCAACTGTGGTCGTCTTTGAGCAGGTCTGTGAGTTAAAGTGCACATGGTTGTGTTGATGGGATAGTGAGAATTTTGACGAAAATGTTGATTGTCTAGAGTTTGACATCGGGTCGTGGATTGTCGGGGTAGAAGTCATTAGAGGCTGGTGGGTGGGAGTGGGGGTGGGGGTGGGGGCGTGGATGTAATAGGGAGAGAGGGTCGAGAGTGTATGTGCATGGGGGTTTGAGATGGGGGGGGGGGAGGTGGTAGGCGGGAGTGTGTGGACGGGAGTGTGGGTGAGAATGTGGATGGGAATGTGGATGGGAGGGTGGATGAAAGTGTGGATGGGAGTGTGTGGATGGGAATGTGTAGGATGGAAAATATGGGCAGGGGTATGGATGGAAGAGCGTGGGTGGGGGTGTGGTTGAGAGTGTGGTTGAGAGTGTGGATGAGAGTGTAGATGAGAGTGTGGATAAGAGTGTGGATGAGAGTGTGGATGAGAATGTGAGTATGAGGGTGTGGCTGGGAGTGTGGGGGAGAGGGTGGATGGGCGGAGTCTGGACTCACCATCATTAGGGTGGAGTAGTCCAGGACAAACATGCCGAACACATTGACGCCGATCTTGGTGTTAGAGATGTGGGTCAGCAGTAAGGACACCTGAAAGAGAGGGGGCGGTTGCCAATAAAAGTTACGTTGCTAAGAACAAAACACAAAAATCATGCCCCAAAAGTATATGCAATAGATCTCATGGATAGGAAAGGAATGAAAAGTGTATGATATATGTAGTGGAACGTTGACAGTTTAAAAATATGCCAAGGCAGGAAAAGCAAAACTCAGTAGCCAAACGTATAATGTGATCTGCATAGACCTACCATTGCAGTGCTTTGGTTTAAATGGCCAGTGGCCACATTCCCGGCTGATAAACATGATGACTACTAAGTGGGTTTTTACAAACCTAATCATTTTACGAGGATCTTTCACAAATTGGAATTGTTACGCATTGGATCTTTTACGAATTGGATATTTTACTAATTTGATCTTTTACAAATTGGATCTTTTACGGATTGGATCTTTAAGTGTTTCCGTGCGTTGAAGCTCATACATGACAGGGCCCCAAGTGACTTGCCTCTTTCTTTCAGAGAAGAACATTTAATTTTGCTCTCAGCCTTTTGCCTTGATGAAGAACAACAGACATACAGCGACATTCTGGGGCTTCATAAATTAACACCACTACATGTACCACAATCACCAACAGAAGCACACCAATACAATCACCACCACACCATTATCAACAACAACAAAAACAACAAAAGTACACCAACATAACCACAGCCACCATCACCAAAGCCATTATCATCACCATCAACAACAACACCAACAGCAACAACACCATCAGCAGCGGCAGCAGCAGCAACAACAATACTAGTACAACCACCATCAACACCACCACCCTCACCACTAGTATCACCACCACCACTAGCAAAAACAACATCATCATCATCAACAACAACAACAACAACAGCAGCAGCAGTAGTAGTAGTAGTAGTAGTAGTAGTAGTAGTAGTAGTAGTAGTAGTAGTAGTAGTAGTAGTAGTAGTAGTAGCAGCAGCAGCAGC